CAGTGACTGTCTACACACTGGATGTGTAACAACTTCACTTGCATATTGCCATATCCCACTGGGACAGCGCAATCTACATCCCATCCTCTGAGGCTTCTTTACAACTCCTACATTTCAGAAGTAGAAGTTTCTTTCCTTCTAATGTTCTCTCTTGGTTTTTCGAAATCAAGAACCAAGTAGCCAGAGATACTCTATGAAACAGGACTCTAAGCCTTCTTACTCAGGAGGTTATGATCAGGAGGATCACAGCTCAAGGCAAACCCAGGCAAAAGCCAAGTATATTAGCCTGGGCATAAACCAAGCGCAATGGTAAGAGGGTGTGGCTCAGGTAGTAGAATGCCTGCCTAGTGAGCAGGTGGTTCTGACGTCAAACCTCAGTACCTTCTTCCCCCAGAAAAGAGTTGTTCCGTCATATCTAAAGGCATTGCTATAGCCTCTAGCACAGAGCGACCACTCTAATTGAGCTGCTGAAGTATAGCATAGAGAATTCTGGAATGCAAATTGGCCCTTTGCATGTTGGGATCCTGACTTGCATGAAGATTAATTTGCAGATAAACAGGTGAGAGAGTGAAACTCAAAGACAAGCTTCCATTGTATCTGTGCTGCCAGGGCATCTCTGTTGTGAGGCACTCAGAGAACACTCAGTACTGAAGAGAGCAAACACACATGGACTTCTACTCACTACAGCTAGTGGTTCTCAAACGAGGGTTCCCCAGAACAGTTACTGCTGTTGCAGCAGCAGCAGAACCAATGCGAAACCCTTGGACCTAATTAATTGGAAGTTACTATGGTTCTCTAGGGCCCAGCTATCTGTTTCAGAAACCCTCCAGATGATTCACAGGCATATTGATGCTGAGTAGCTTCAGTTTAGGAACTAGAAACTTGGTATGCTAATGATTTACTGCATGTATAAAGGATATCTTTAAGGATGGTTCCAATGACCATTTTCTGAAGGTTTCCCTATGCAAGGTATAGACCAACTCCTTTAAAAATATTATATCATAGCCAAACAGTACTTTGCGGTTTTCGGTTATTAGTCCCTGCTAGGCACTTGCTGTGGTTTCCTTGAAGGATTCATGTACTGAAGACTTGCTCCATAGCAAGGTGGTATTAACAGATGGGAGGGAGAAGGTGGTCAGGTTTTCTAGGACAATCTGGTATCCTTGAAGTTGGTTCCTGTGAGATGGGGTGGTTTTGAAAAAGAAAGATGATCCCTCACTGGTCTCTGGCTTCCTTTCTCAGCACATGATCATTTCTCCTATGGATAGCACTCCTACCATGATGCCACCTGCTATGATGAGACTTAGACAAGGGGCCCTCACCAGAGGGTAAACAGACAAAGCCACTTCATCTGGGACATGTAACTTCCAAACTTGAAAGGTACATTGACCACTTTTCTCTGTGACATGTTAAGTATCAAGTATTTCAATATAGCATCAACAAATGAAGCATTAAAGTAAATTGACACCAAGAGGGGTGTTTCCATTCATGGCTGTATCTATACCCAAAATTATAGAAGCAGCTTTGGAACTGGATAATAGGAAGAGACTGGGAGAATTTTGAGAAGCTGGTTAGAAAAACCTGGAGTTCTGTTAGCTGTGTGTTACAGTGGTTCTGAGATGGCCTCTGAAGGAAATTTGGGAATTGGAACCTGGGGAGAATACATCCTTGTGCTGCAGTAGGAAAACCATGGCTGTCCTATTACAACTCCCTGGATTTGCATGGAAGGCAAATTTTAAAAGTAATTGTACAGAGGATAGTGCATGCTCGGTGAACAAAATCCTCTTCAGCAACATTCAAAGCTTCATCCCCATGTACATGCCTGAAAGGGAAGAACACTCTTAGCAGGATGTGGTGGTGCATGACTGTAGTCTTCATACCTACTGAAGCAGGAGGATTATAAGTTAAAGGCCAGCCTGTGTGACATAGCAAGATTCCATCCTCCCAACAAATAAACCACTTAAAATGTGCATGTGGAAAAGAAGAACCCATGGGCACACACACACTGTTAACTAAGACTCAAATTGTATTTCAAGAGAATCTTCTGTAGTGTGTGTGCTTGTGACTCATGCATGTAATCCTAGCTAGTCAGGAGACTAAGATGTAGGTGATTGTTGTCTGAACCCAGAACCATCAGAAAAGTCTGCAAGCCTCCCTATCTTCAAAAAGAACCTGCAAAAAGCTGGGCTGAGGGCTGGCAAGTTGGGTCAGTAGTAGAGCACTTGCCTTGCATGCCTGAGGCACTGGGTTCGATTCCTCAGCACCACATGAGCAAAAGAAAAAAACCAGAAATGGCCTGTGGCTAAAGTGGTAGAGTGCTAGCCTTGAGCTGAAGAGCTGAGGGATGGCACTCAGGCCCAGAGTTCAGGCCTCACAACTGGACCCAAAAATTAAGCTGGGCTGAGACATGGCTCAAGAGATAAGGCCCCATCCTAACAAGTATAATGCATTGAATTTAATCCTCGTACAAGCAAAAAATATCATATTGTCTATATGGGTATCATATGGGTATCATATATATGGGTAGTCTAAGTCATTCATGTATGGGGAGACTAGTCAGGAGACTAAGATGTAGGTAATTTTTGTTTGAAGCCAGCACCATCGGAAAAGTCTGCAAGCCTCCCTATCTTCAAAAAGAACCTGCTAAAAGCTGGCCTGAGACCTGGCTCAAGAGATAGGGCACCAGCCTAACAAGTGTAAAGCATTGAGTTTAAACCCTGGTACACGCAAAAATATGATTCACATACGCAGTCCAGCAAATTTCCTAGTAGGGGTGTTTTATGAGACTTTTCATCTTGATGGGCATTCAGTTGTATATGTGAAAGGTTTTCTCCTTTTCTTGCCAGTCAGGCAAGTGTCCTCAGTATAAACTTAAAGCAATAAAATACTTCGTAATCTAAGAAAGCTGAAGTCTTATAGAGTAGATCACACTGGTAGTGTGTCCATTTTTAGATCATAGCATTGTTAAAATATTTCACAAATTTTTAAGAAAAATTTAAACTACATAAAAGCTCTCAACTACTAAAATCCAACTGGTAGCGAACATTGAGCTCAATATGCACTTTTCATTAAAAGGCCTCCTGTGGAGTATCCTCTTTTGAACTTCCAGAAAGACTGTGACAAATAAGGAAAGCAAAAGGCAACACAGGAGTGTGGCTAAAGTACACTGTACACAGTATGAGAAGATAAGATGAAATCCCTTCAAAAATTTACAAGAACATGAAAAGCAGGGTTGGGAGAGATGGAAGATAATGAAGAAAGTGGTGAGGTTGGTGAAGATGCACTCCCCAAATATCATGTTAAGTTGGAATACCTTGGTATAACTGAAAGATTGAAATTGGTGCTATGTCCATTTTACAATATGGGCTATGTCCATTTTACAATATGCTAACTGCTAATTCTGCTTCTGTAAACCTGCT